TCTATTGACACTGTTGAGGCTGATTTGCGTAAATTTAAACCTGCCGATTTGATTTTTTTATATTTTTGAGTGGCAATTTCTGGTTTCCTTACTCCAGATGAAACCCTCAACCAACCAGTCAGTTTTGTGAAAAATGATACCCTATTCTAGACCCAAACGCTTCTGCAACGGCTGACGCACTTGTTGCCAGAGACAGAGCTGGGCGTGAGTTAAGTGACACACTGGCTGACATACTATGTAATTGGCTAGACACTTTTGCATCGATTGCAAACGGCGACATAGATGAAAATAAAAATATTTTTACGTGATGTGATGATTATAGATGTTCTGAAGCCGCCTTAAAAAGCCCTGATTAATGTATATCAGGCCGCGCGAATAAAATGTCGATTACGACAAATAAACTACTTTCTTTTACTAAAAAAAGTGGCCCAACTTTTTACTGTGAAAGTCAAAAAACCGTGACCACTTTAATTTTATTTTAAATTGTCGATTGTGTAGCCAGCAGTCAGATGCGAGAAAAACTGCAACAAAGCAAACAAATTAACAGTGTCTCCATCAGTCACGAAACCACACTTCGATCGTTTTTCCTTCCAAAAAAGGCTGTTACCCTTTAGTTCTATGATTACTAATTTAACCTGCTCTATTTGTGCAAGCAAAACCGGAAATTCGAGCTACTTTAAATAAAGTGTGGCTCAAACCTGTACATACGGACTTGCAGCCTAAGGCTACAAAACCAGACAGACAGCTTCTTTATATTCAATTTCATACGTTGCTATATTATCAATGAAAAACAAATCCCGCCTAATTTTAGAATAAAGGTTATTATAAAGGTCATAGATAATGTAGACAGTTTTATAAAACGAGGTAAAAGGGGGTTCTAAATTCATGAATAGTAAATTCACAAATTTGAAAATCTTTTATCGCTTATTAGGACTCATTAGTCTGTTCTTATATGGCTGACGCTCAGCGAGCAGGCAAGATGGACCAAATCCTGCGCTGTGATTGGCTACCCGAAAGACTGACTTTTTCCGTTAGCAGGTGCCTTTGTATTTCGGTATCAATCCGTCTGTCGCAGTTACGAAAGTTTGCAGGTTCCATTGACTAATATATAACCGTGAAAGCAAAGGTTAAACGGCATGCAACGGTGGGAATTAAAATGCCATTAAAAGGAGGAATTAACTGGGAGTAGGTTAATTGATCATTTTCTTGAGTCCATGTACAAATATTGCTGGGTATTTCTTGTGCGAAAACTACATCATATTATTCTTCACAAAAAGTCTCATACATTTCTTAACTACTGCCAAGTAGCTTATGCCGCTTTCACGGAAACATCGCATTCCGAATAAATCAACATTCACTGTCTTGCAACATGAGAAATGACTCGGTCGCGGATTCATAACAAGTGATCATGTGACGACGATTTACCATTCGCATCTCTTGCATCCCGAAGTCTTAAATCGATTACTTCTCTAAAGTATGTGATTTGTAGCTCTGGCCATATTTGTTGACTTATTCACTGTGATTAATTAGATTGTGATGTATTATCTTTTTAGATTGTGGTAAGTTGAACCAAAATGCAGGCTCCATAATGAGACGCCAGTTAATAGGTTATTTTGTCTACCCGCGAATGAATAGCGTATTGTTCTTCTATCAACCGAAGGGACGCATGAAAGTCGCGGTATGTTAACCGTTAGCTTGGTCACCTACTGCAAACTACGTTTTTTTCAGTTATTATACAGAAAACAATGCATCTTCCAGAGAACTATCGGGAAGCAATATTTTCACCTAATAAAGCGAGCTGAAGGGCTTAAGTTAATCAAGTTTTGTCAGTCAACGCAGATTTATATTGTTCGATGTTTCACGAATATGACCTTATACAGAATGCATACTTTATATTCTTGTGATTTTTAGTAACAACATAGTCACATATGATTTCCGTAATTTCCAATGTAACTTGAACGCAGATATATTGAACTTTCTTCCATACGACTGTTTTATAGTCTTCCAAGTTGCAAGTTTTGTTTCAGCGATGAAATAACACGAGAGGTATTTGTTTCACAAAGCTGCAGCTATAACGGGTGAGCACAACGGGAATCTCTTAAGAGTGTTCCTTAAAACCAACTCTTGAAGAGCAGAAATGCCGGAATAAATCATGCACACAAGCTAGAAATGATATTCTACCATTGCAATGTTTCCTGCGCTAAACAGACGAGCGCTACTATTACATAACATTGATAAGTAATGTTATTGTTCAAGATGTTCACTAATCAGCGGGCTATCAACACTTGAGCCATTCAAGTACAACGTAGGATACTAAGGAAAACCTTGAATCCCATCCCTGGCTATTTAAGTAATGCTTAGTTAACGTGAGTATCGTGCACTTGTAACAGAATAACGGGGGCTCTGTCCTGACAAATTTTTATCCGCATTCACCAGCTGCCTAGGCAATGCGCAACGCCCAACAGACGTTTTCTTCGATTCTTTTCTCGCTGAAGGCTTTTATCTTTACCCACAGACGTCCGAAACTAAGCAAATAGATAATACACTTTTCCACTTACCATACGACAGGAGAAATCCTTGACGGATCATAAGTGTCACGATGAAATACAATTTTGCCATTGTCGCTACTCTGTTGTCGTTTTAAATATACCTTCCAAAAGACTTCAGTCAAGACACTATTAACCTGAACCTCAGGAGCCAGGAACTGGAATTCTAAACTGATTATGAGCTTTTGTGAGGAAAAAGAACCCAAAGGTTTTGAGAGGGACAATTTATCGGTTCCACTCACAACCACATTCGGATGCGACGCTATGACGTGAAATGGCTGCTTTGCCCCTCAATTTTCTCGACCACGTCCAAATAACCATAACAGCTACCCCAAACACGCGTTATATCCCCGAGGCTACAATTTATTTATTTTACCGCAACGTCTACACAACTAAAAAGTTTGAGTTAATTACTGTTGGAAACAAAGACCTGGAAATTAATTTAAAAAAAAAAAAAAACTCCAATAAACTATACATCAGTAGAAAGTTTAATAAATGTTGTTTACGATAGTAGTATGATTCAAGCGACCTTTTCTTTCAAGAAGTGTCAGAAGCCGGTAAACCATTGAACGACCAAGGGTTTTTCTATTGAATTTATCGGATATCGAATGCTGCAGCACGAGCCAAACAGTGGCACATTCTTATTCACGCCAGGCATCAATGAACAAACGTGTGTCAGCCTATATATGTCGATATCCTGATTGGTTGTTAAGATATCCGCATGCAAAGATGTAGTAGCTAAGGGCCTGATTACATGAAGAAGTTCAGCCCGGGCTGAAATTTCAGCCCGGCTAGGGGGGCTGAAATTTTGTTGCGATTACATGACGAATTTCAGCCCGGGCTGAATTGCAGCCCGGGCTGAATCCTTCTCCATGTAATCGCCAATTTGATTTCATGAGAATTTGTTTCAGAAGCCGGGCTGAAACAGCCCGGCTAACCAGGCTGAAATTTCAGCCCGGGCTGAAATTCGCCATGTAATCAGGCCCTAAGAATGTGTGCGACGAGTCGAGACGCCATGGAAAAACTCAAAAGCGAAGTTACTCAAAATTAGGCTTGTTCACTGAATGCAGTTGCATGGTTCCAGTTGAAGTCTCTTGGGTCAATAAATAGAAGTGCGAATACGAGATTGCGTACGACTACGTCGACCACTACGTTTCAAACCTAGTGCTTTTACATCTACACGGTGTCTAATCCTGTACCGATAGTCTCCTATTCATATGCTCAGAGAGCAGTTAATTAGGACTCTGCGGAAACGTGCGTAGCTGGACTGAATTTCAAAAGGCGTGCTAGTTTAGTTTTGTTATTAGTAGGTTCCTAACATGAGCCTAATGCAACGTTCTAGTTGAGTGCTACATAAACTAATGCGGTACTATGCAGTTGACGTGCAATTTAGTCAAGTTGATAGATTGCCAGACAAATTAATCTTTTCGGAATGGTCAGGAATGGTTCTTAATGATTTGGCTGAGTGCATACACCAAAATAAAGTCTGGAGTGAGAGTAATATATAATGAGACCCAAGCTGAAATTAAGCAAAAATAAAATTACGTGCTATCTTTCTTGTTTTCTAAAGTCAGAGCCGTGGGCATTGAATTTTGCAACGGAGAAATTTGTAACTTCAAGAGTGCGTCCAGATAAGCAGATGAAACATTATCGTAGCATCAACTAAAATTGCATGGATACATATTGTTCTCCCTTGGAGCGGCTTCAATGAAATCAAAAAATAAAAATAAAAATGTATAACTTATATATAGCTTGTGTCACGATATGGCCACCTAAAAATGCAGAACGCCAGATTTCAAACTTTCTTCGATGATAAGCATAAGACATTGACTTACACATGACATTATTCATTGTACCTCGCGTACAGTCATAGAATCTTTTACTTTAACACAGATGAAAAAAAATATTACGCTGATCTTATGTGTACTCACTTGTTGGAGCTGTAGTTGTAGCTGACGAGAAAAAAGAAAAATGTGAAGAAAATTTGAATACAGTATCAGGTAATTAGCAGTGTTTATAATTATACAGGAGCCATAATCGGGGACGGAGACCGTAAGTCTTGGGATCCGCGCGCACCTATGATATGGGACAATTTTTCTATTTTTAGAACAAATTGCGC